CCAGCTTGTCGGAAGGGACTTCCTTCCGACAAGCTGGTTTAATTACTGCTTGCCGCGAGGAACCCCTCCCCAACGAGCTGGTGTGTAGACCAGCTCGTCGGAAGGGATTCCTTCCAACAAGTGGGTTTAAGTACTGGCTTGCCAGGAGGAACCCCTCCCGACAAGCCTTGTTTTTTTTTCTTGAAAAAAAAAAACACTCTGGGCTATCCCCTAGGACCCAGGCCTGGGTCCTATGGGATAGCCCTGGTCCTAAACCCATATACATATGGGTTTAGGACCCAGTTTGGCGTGCAGGCCAATCTACCCTGCAGAAGATTGGTGTGCGCCATGGGGGTTGGCTTGCACTTATCAACCCCCGTTTTGGAGCTCTGGAATTCAAAATAAGTAGCCACTTTTCACTGTCTACCCACTGTACAAGCTGATCAAAAAGTGGATGTGTAATTGAATATTCAAACAAGAGAAAAACAATCAATAATGAATATAATCAGGAAAAGATAATTTGAGAACATGAGTGTTAATAAGAGGGTTACTGCCTAGGGTTGTTGACTACAAAGCGGATCTTATTATACAAAACATGTCCACAACAGATTATGATCTAAATAATTCAAGATGAATGGAAATAATGAGGGGGAGGAAATGAAATAGTCATGAGTAAAAAGAGAAGGAATCATTTATAATTTCAGCAATCCTTAGTACTCTCAGGTCACAGGGTTCAATTTTCATGTAAGACCCTCCCTTCAGTTGGCAAAATTCATCCAGTGGTTTATCAATGTGACCAGTGGCAGGAAGGGAAGGGAATCAATATTGAAGTTAATTCAATTCTTGAACTAGTAGTTTTGAGGTCTACTTTGTGAGGTTTTGACCTTGTGGGCTAGAGGTCCACTGTGAGAGTTCAAGAACTTGCAGTCTAGAAGTTAGCTTTGTGTGGTCACAAACTTCAAGTGGGTGATCTTGCAGTCCACAGTACTGAGTGCCATTTTTGACGCCAAAGTCCACAACTTGAAATTTTTCTGCTGGAAGAAGCAGCATAGAATTTAAAAAGAGGGAAAGAAGCAATAATCAGAAAAGGTACACCATCCAAAAATTACTGATTGAGAAAAAATAGACAGAAGGATCATCATCATAAGAAATAAATAAAGACAAACTGGAAATAGGGAGTTTAAACCTCCAACAATCAATAAATACATCACTGAGGAAGCCAAGGAAGAAAGCAGAAAGGAGGGAAATAATGCTGTTGCTAGAAATTTTAGAGGCCCAGCCAGAGGAGGGGAAAAAACCTTCCTGTTCAGTGCTACTTTCTGAAATCTGATTGTTTCTGGACTTCCACCACTTGTGAAAAGGGTTGTCTGGTAATATGTGTACGGGTGTAGTATGATGTTGGGACAAAGTAAATGACATTCTAAAGAACAATCTTTGAGCTTTATTTGCATTCTTCCCACCTTCATCTTCACCCTCACTCCTCCCATGCTTTTTCAATAAAATATCAAAAAAGTAAAATAAGATGAATTTTTAACATCTTCTTATTCTTTTTTTTGCCTTGTTATCCAGATTTTTTTATGACTCTTTGGATCAAGCCCTAGAGACCCTGTTATGAAATCTTTAGAAATGTTTTATTGAGGAATCAAAGATGAGATGCAGTCCTCTATTGTCAGCCTCTATGCTACTAACCTGTAAGGGTTGTGCTCTGAGTGTTAACAAGAATGGTAAGTGAGAAGCTTTATTTGTGGTTAAATCCCTCAACCTGTAAAAGAAACAGGGAGGAGTCAGTGAGGAATGGTACTTCTACTGCTGACTCATCCAATTATTCAATTGGGCATCCGGATCAATCCTCTTGCATGGATTAATAGGCTTCCAAAGTGAGGACTTCTTCAACTCACTTGGGATAAGTCTTTTAACAACAATCCAGATGAATAAGTGTATCAACACTTAAGGACCAGAATTGTTTAACCTGGGGGATAATTCTTTATGCAATAGAGATAAGTAGAAATGCCTTGAATCTGAGCAAAGTAAATCTATTTAGGTCTAAGGTAGCTGGGTTGTAATGTTATTGGTGGTTTGAATCACTAATAAACACGGTACAAGTGTTGGTTTGATGCTACTAGAATTTCCTGGGGGGAAAAGGTAGGAATCTGAGCTCCTTAAATATTCTACAGGGGGCTCAGGGGAAGAGGAGAGGCCCTCAGGGCACTAGGGAGCTTCTTAGCTGCTCTACAATTTCGTGTAAGGATGGGAGCTGCAGCTGTGCACTGTGCAGTGCTATGCATGGGTGGAAGGTCCTAGGACATGAGATCATACATGCATAATTGAGTTTTGTGGCCTATTTCTCACGTAATTGAAAAGGCTACAGTTACTGTGCAGGGGCTGTGCAATTGTAGAGTTGGTTGCATACGTGTAACTCTGCTTATGCAAGCTTGTGATCATGAGAAATGCATGTCCTTCATGCATAATTCAGTCTTGCATGTAGAATTTGGGCTCCTTTCCCGTGCAGGCTACTTTGAATTATGCAAGCTTTGAATTAGAGCACAAAAGGGTCCTGATGACGCCATCCAAGAGGGATATGATGCAATCTGATGCCCTGATGATGTGATCAAGGATGGGTAAGCTTCAGATAAATGTATATAGCTTATTCCTCATCCATTTCACGCTTCTACTAGCTGATTCTTATACCTATGTTATTAATTTATGTATTATAAAATATGTACATAATGTATAAGAATAAATATTGTTTTAATACCTTATTCTAAAGCTCTTCCTGTGAAATCCTAGTGATATTATATGTACAATACTCAAGGGGATTTCACAGTTAATTATAGAATTATTAAATATAAATTATGAATTAAGATTAAATGTAAATACATATTTATTTATTGATCATTTTAACAACAATGTATAATATTTTCCTGTATTCAATCAGTTATTATTATTTGCAGTTACTAGGTACATTTCACGTACTGTGAAAGGTGCTCTGTGGCTGACATCTATCATCAGAACACAGAGATGTTTTTGATAAAATAATACATTAGAGCAACTGAATCCTGACAAATGGGGCCTTGATCTTTGTGCAGGGTAGCCTCATTCCAATTTTTTTCCTGGAAAGGACAAAGAACTAAGTGCTAGCAAAATACGTAGGGTATCCTTTTCCTTATTCAGATACCAAACCCAAAATTCCTAGAAGAAATTATCACAGTAATTATGAATGCCATTGCAGCAGTGTTTTTCATTCCCAACACATCTCAGTGTTGGTTTCTGAAATTTACTTTCAAATGAAAATGTGTGAAATTTAATGCTAGGTGACACAATAATTTTGAAGGTTTTCCCCAAAAACCTTTCACCTTAGATGGTTACAAATTGATTCTCATTCTAAACTGGGTGAGACTATTTAGTACTATTTATGTTTTTTTTTTTAAAAAAAAATCCAAGCTGGCTGACATCTCATTCTCATTTAGATGATTGGAGGACTTCTCACCATCTAAATTAGCTAAGGGAGAAGGAAGTCCTAAACATTCTTTGCTGGTGAAAATTGATTGAGATATTGAGTTTTCAGCAGCCAATAAGATTAAGAGGGAAGTCCTCCATTCTCGGTTCACCTCTAAATCAACCGTTAAAAAACTTTTCATCTGCACCAGAAAGCGCTCTTTCCAATTATTGATTTGCCTGCAAATCCACTTCTTCCAAGGGCATACAATCACCCCCTTAACTGAATAGCAGAATCTTTTCACCAAGGGGTGTATGCCCCTAGAAGGTTTGAATGCAGCTATTTGTGCACCTTATTATTAGCAGCCAGCCCAACTGATGCAAGGCAGTGTGAATGCCTTTGACAGTTCATGTTAGGTTAAACTTTGTCAAAGAGAAGGACTTATTTTTCGAATCGAGGGTCGAATGATTGTAACGCTGGGAACCGCTGGACTGATTCAGATCTGCAAGACGACCCGATCGATCGGTGTCGTGCCAAGGTGAAGTGTATGTCCTCCGGCAACAGTCTTACCCCCGCCTTGGAGAACCTATTTAATGTATTTGTACCTAAGCGCACAGTCACCTTTTCACTTTGGCTTTCTGGTCAGCCGAAAGAACAGCTGTATGCCCACTCTGTCCAAACATTGCCATCCCTTTCTTTATTGGCTCCCGTTGTTCCTCCAAGCCGTCAAGCTAGTATCAGTAGGACATGTGATTGCAAAACTTGCTGTAAGTGGTTAGTTGATCCGGCATGTATATTTTAGATGCACCTCTAGCAAATTTTAACGGCTCAGCCTGGATGTTACATAGGGATGAAACCTACACTAAGCGATGGGTTTTTTCTTTGCATTTGGAATTTGGATCCAATGAGACCCTACGCGGTATACATGTATACACCCGAGATTCGAGAACCATCGGTTGTTGGTGAATGAGCGAGGACTCCATAGGAGAAAAAGAGGGGACTACAGGATTTGGAAATTGTCACTGTCGCCTAGCGCTTTCGGTAACCTGATGTGCTCGCTGCTTTCATTTTCGGTAAATAATCCTTGCCGGGTAATTGCGCCTGTTTTTTTTTCTTCTTCTTCTCACGCGCGACGACGACCCAAGGGCCAAGACCACACTATCACAAGCAGTCTCAAATCTCGCGGCATCGTGTTCAACCGTTCGCTCTATTCAGGGTTTGATGATGTCTGGAAAAAATTCAGAGGTGACCCTTCCTTGTACTGAGGTATGTACCTCCCTAATCACCACAGGTAAACCACCAGCCCCTAGCCCCGATGAGCTAAGCTTTTCAGTGGCAAATACAATGCGGTCATCCCTTCAGCTGGCCATATCACGTTCTCCACCTTATCATCCACGCCTGGATTCCAACCTAAAATCCATCAGTTACTCGACTTACACTGTGGCCCCTGGTACATAAAGGGATAGGCCGATCGGAGAATTTAATACATCCTGCGGATGCCGCTGAGGGGATGGGGTCCGGATGGGACGTTCAAAGGATGACATCATTCTTTAGAGTGTGGTCACTGGTGTGGGCCTTTTTTACGCTTATTTGGGCTTTGGCTAGCTTGTCAACGTATCATCAAACGGCAAGGATGACTTGTTGTTTCTGTTTGGACAAGCCTATCATTTTACTTCAAATCTCGGGTGATTGGGAAAGCCGCATCTTGTGCACTTTTCCAGACGACACGCGTACATGTACAATTTATTCAGAGGGCGAGGATATCGTCGATCTCGCTGAAGCTCGCTGGAGCTTGGCAGGTTGGCATGAAGACCTACAGTTTATGATAGTTTATTATCATTTGGTCCTATAACATATTCACGTTTATTTCTGAGGATGGACCTGCCCCTATCTACTGATATGTATACCTCATACTAAATACAAACTGCCCGGAAGTGATTTGTGTCAGCATAGTTTCGTATGAGCCTCTTCGCTGAGACTTGACCAAGCATCTCTGCGTTATACACCGAGCCGTCACTTCTGGTCCTGACGCTTTGAAGAATTCTTATTTTTTTTGGTTTTTTGTTTTTGTATATCAGCCTTGCCCCATAAAGTTTGTGGATCCCCAGAGGATGTGAGAGCGAGGAAGAATCTAGAAAGGCCAGTCCGCTATAAGAGTAGAGACCTTCTGTCAATCCCCCTCCTTCCGCACCACACTCCCCATCAAAAAATATTTAATAATAGTTTACCGTCTGTGGCGAAGGTTGAAAAACTTCCAGCCATATAAAATATCTCCCTATCCCAACCTTTGTGGCAAAGGCAGAAAGTCTTCCATAAACACATCTTCCCACTTCCACCTCCATCGTGAACATGCCATCCAACGCTACCGAACCTCATAATTCGACAAAGTGCGTCAGCTTTGATCTTTAAGACTATACTAGATGCAGAACCCTCCCACATTTCCATTTTTTTTCTTTTCTTTTCAAGATTGATGATCCATGTTAGGCTAAAATTCACGTCGTCGATTCTTGTTTGAAAGACTCCCTATTCCTGATCTTCCCGAAGTGGGCCACACCGTAGATTACGAAGACACCCCACGATCCGAAGGAAGCCGCCGACACTATGCTGGCAATCATCATCCCGCAGAGGGTGACGGTTTGGTTTTGAGGTTCAAAAGTTTAACACGAGTCTTCTGGGCGTAAGTTGGGCAACTGGACTCCGAGCTTTGTTCCTCATCAGACTTCTAGTATTGACTCAACGTCCTGGTCGTTTGACTTGATCCTCCAGTGAATTTTTCGGGACTGCGATCCTTGCACTATTCGGTAACTAGATAATAACTTCTCTACTTGTTCTTCAAGGACACCTGATTTCTTGAACGATGTGCCAATTCGACGATCTGATTCCTCTCTGAAATTCGCCAGGCACTGCCGCAAACAACCAGGTGGCTCTTAGTAATTCGAGCGCAGTTTCAAACGCGCCTGCCGGGACCTACATCTCAGTCGCGGTAAGTATTGCAGCACTTGACAAGTGTCGAGCAATTCACTGATGCCTCTACATTCTTTAATAGTTCGGATGGGCTTTAGCTGTGTGAGTATCAGATTTGATAAGATGGCCAGCGTCCATTGATTGATTTAAAACATCCTTTCCTACCTGATAGGATGTTGGGCGTATATGTGTCAGGGGGAGTTAGCGGCGGGCATGTACGTTTTGTGAACATCTTCTAGCCCATGTCAGGAAAGTTCTCAAAGTGGTTTCGCCTCTAGATAAATCCCGCAATCACGCTTGCAATGGCAATCTTTCGTGGCTTGTGAGTGTCTGATCGGCCGATGCTCCACAGAAACTACATGGAAGATAGCTAACGCATACCCTTACCTTCCAGTCCCTGGAAGAAAGTGTAAGTCAACGATCAGCTCCAAAGAAACAATGATCTTCTCGTTGATTCTTTTGTCTTGATAGTCCAATCTACTGGGCCGCACAATTGACCGGTTCTGTGACGGGTGCAGCGTGCGTTATCACTTCTTTTGCTGTTTTCCTTGAGGTATTGTCTCCAAGTATTGATGAACATCTTCTTATTTCAGTTTGACTTGTGAGTAGCCTTGCAGAGCCTAATCCTCTCTCGAAAAAGCATGCTCTAATGAGCTATGTAATCCAAAGACTGGAACTACAGGCATGCGATCGATCTATTCGAAGGTGGTGGTGGTGCGCGAACGATCGAGAAGACTGGGGGATTGTTTTTTACCAGTAAGTTGATCCTTTTCCTGCAACGCATCCATCTAAAATATACCAATACCATGATTTTCTTACAACGTGTGATCCTTTTTTTCATTTTAGATCCGTTGAGTTCCGATAATCAAAATAATCAAGTACTTCTTTCGAAATTAAATTGCCCGCTGACCAACTCTTGCTTGAACAGATTGCCTTACGTTTCCAACTTCAACTGTTTCTACAACGAGTTCCTGATGACGGCCCTCCTCATGATTTTTGTGTAAGCTTGAACTGCGATCAAATTAAACAAACTTGATACCAGGCCTGAGATACAACTCTGTATTATTTCGTCTAGCGTGGCCGTTGGTGATGAGGGAAACACAGCCCCTCCAAAGAACATGGGACCGATCATCATCTTCTGGGTTGTATTTGGATTAGCTTCTACTTTAGGAATGCAGGTAAACTCTCAAACTATCAACACTTATTCATCTATCTTAAAAATGGATTGAAATTTTCTGACTCCGCCGATCCTTCCAGACTTCCTTCTCCTTGAACCCAGCACGGTAGGTTAACATTGAAGGTTAATGAAGCAACATCCAGGCCGTGAAATGCTAAGTTTGATTTTTCTGGGGCTGTCAAATAGTGATTTAGGTCCCCGACTGGTCACCTGGTTCGCGGGATACGGATCACACGTGTGGTCCGTTCGGTCCCAGTGAGTAAAAAGCCTGTCTTGGACTGAGGAAAATGGTACTGATCTACGGTGTTTTTTTAGCTATTGGTTTGTTGTGGCTATCCTTGGACCGGTTTGGTGAGCCGATAATCGTTTTGATCGTCCAATGTGATCTGTTTGAATTGACGCTCTTGTGGTTCTAGTGGTGCTATCGTTGGAGCTTTTATCTACGATTTCTTCATTGCAACCAATCAGGTTACTTGCACGCTACACGGCAATAACTCTTTCCCACCATTTCTGGCGAAGTTCCTCCCCGCCAAGCGCAACCGACAGGAGCAACTTAACGGACTGGAATCTGGACAAGCCTGAGCTCAACAAAGCTTGCTTCGGTTGGTTTCCATTTGTCCTCAGCCTACGAAGAAAAATTCATTGAAAGAAATGGTATCAGTATTCCAATTTAGCAACTTCTGTCACAAAAAGATGACCCAATTCCTTTTATCAGTATCGTCTTGTCGTCGCTCCATGCTGCTTGTTTTCTTTACTCTTCACATGATTTTCCATCAGTTTCCTCATTGAAATGAATCTCACAACGTCTCTAAAAATCAGTGGCTGTAAACTCAATACCCCAGCCTCAGGAGCTAACTGCTTCAAAATTTGAAAGCCTGTCGGCACCTTTCTACATTCTATGCCGATAAGAATATCGATGAGAAGACAATACTCACTTTATTTGAGAATTCGGTTTCAGTTCTTCTCTTATCCAAGAAAGAGATGTCCAAGATAGCGACTCTGTAATTTTTGAAATTCAACTTCGTACATTGCGGTTGTTTTCTACTCTCAGGGCAGAGCCCCCTGGTCAAGAGTTTTTCTCCTAAACGTCTGGCAAGTTTGAGCACTGTCGTCTGCCATACGTAAATATGATGCAATTTGGCCGAGATGCTCCGTTGTTTCTGGTGTTTAGTCTCACATTCTGTATGAAGTTTGTGCCGCGAGCCCCTCGAGTAACAACCAAGGACGAAGATCGAGGTTTGACAAGAAGGGTTGTAAAGCTAAAAGCACTGCTCGGCCAAATCTGTAGCGAATGCCATCGCACATGTATTCGGAAGTAAACACATGCCGAAGAGATCGAAGCAGCACTCATTTCAAAGCGGTGAAGTTTGGAAACATAAGACGGTGTGTTGAGCCGGTGAGTCGATACTCATCTCACGGACTCACCACAGGGCTGGTGTGGTCAGCTTAATTGATAAAAAGAAAAAGGAAAAAAACGCGGAGGCAGCAATTCTCAGGGGAGACAATATGGTGACAAGCGGATCTGTTGCCAGAGTTTCTTGGCTTTTGATTACCGCTGGGCTTTGCGCACTAGGCCGCACAAACGTTCCACAGAAAACCACGGTGATTGCTAAAGAAATATTTAGACACGTGGGGGGAAAGGCAAGATGTTATGAGGGATATAGCCGCCAGTGCTTATGAATTTCAATATAGGGAAGAGATTTGAATAGACTCATGAAATTTGCTCGCGTCACGTCTACTGCTACAATAATTCAGAAGGGGACACAAATGAAAAACAACATCGCTCAGGCGATTGCTAAGCTATCCAAACAAGAATGCCGGCCAAGACCGAGGCTGCCAAGACGTTGCTCTGGGCTTGTTGATACAACGACGAGCCGCTGTTTTCCTAATAGAAAAAAGCATCAAATTGGAGCCAACGTGTCAGTTCAAAAGGTTTTAATGAGGAATCAAGGGGAAAAAATACCTTAGCACGGATGGCGGGAGAATCTTTTGACTGAGGGCCATTGTGAGGGACGGGTTCGGAATCCTTGGCCTTCGATTTGTCCTGCTTCTTAGGGTCCGAATCAGTTGAATCGTCGCTGTCATGAAGCACATCGTTCATAGGTTTCATTGAATGAGGCTCGGTCTTCTGCGGACTGGTAGCGCTAGCTCCTGCGGAATCGGAGGAGGTACCCGCTTTGTTGATGTCTGGAGTTGAACCAGCCGGAGATGTATGAGAGGAGGTCTCCGAATCGGACTTCAAGTCATCGGAAGCTGGTTTGCCAATGTTCACTTGGACCTTCTTAGGCGACTCCCCTTCGGGCCCCGCATGGGTGGAAGCCGTTGAAACGTCGGCGGATTTTGCAGAGCCCTCCAAATGGCTTTGCGCTGCGTCCGAGGTTGAAGCCGGCTTGCCAATGGTCACATCAACGGACTTAGGAGCTGTTGAGCCCGATTCTTTGGTACCGTGCGTGACATCGCTTGTTGCCTTTGGTGTCGTATCTGAGGCTTCGTGAGGGGTGGCAGATGCTGGACTTTCCTTGTTAACATTGATATCGACAGTTTTCGGGGTAGAGGAGTCAGATGCTTTGGGTGCCTTTACAGCAACGTCGATTCCCTTTGAGGCCGTATCGGGTGCTTTCTCTGGGCTGGGTGGATGGGATTGAGGTCCTGTAGAAGACGCTTTGGAATCTTCAGGCGACGCGCTTGTTTTGGCCCCCTGATTCAGAAAGTTGAGAAATTTGTTTAGTGACTCGGCTTTTAAATCCTGAATGACATCTGCAGAGATAAATATGCTAACCTTGGGTGCTTCAGCCGGACTTCCCTCGGCCTTCGGAGCAGAATTTCCCTTGGCGGCCGATTCATTCGGAGCGATATTTGTTGTAAGCACCTCATTGCTTACTTTGTTGGTGACTACTGTCGTCGTACCTGCCGGAGAATCGCGAGATTTAGGCCCGGCGGGAGAAGTCCCTGCGACTTTCTGAGCTGAATTGTCTTTGCTGGCTGTCGATTCATTCGAAGTTGTGTTGGTGTGGACGACTTCGTTTGAAACTCTGTTAGTGGTCACAACCGGAGCAGCTTTGGAGGCCGGTAGGACTCCATCAGCAGCTTTCGGCGCCGACTCAGCAGACTTCGGTGCGGACTCGGCAGCTTTCGGTGCGGGCTCGGCAGCTTTCGGTGCCTCCTCAGCAGACTTCGGTGCGGCATCGGCAGCTTTTGGTGTCACTTCAGCAGACTTTAGCGGGGGTATGTCAGCGGCTTTCGGTGTCGCGTCAGCAGTCTTCGGCGCCGCATCAGCGGCTTTTGGCGCGGGTTGTCCTTCGACTGCCTTCGGGGCAGATGTCCCTTCGGTGGCTTTAGGGGAAGGTGACCCCTCGGTGGCCTTGGATGACCCCTCGGTGCCTATAGCCATGGAGGATCCATCGACAGCACCTTTGGAGGCGGGTGGTGTGTCCGTAGCTTTTGTCGTGGGTCGCACGTCGGCAGCTTTCGGAGCCGATGAGCCGTCCGTTTGCGAGTGCGTAGTGGACTTTGATTCATCCGAGGACGTGTCAGCCGGTTTAACCAGGGCAACGCTCGGCGCATCCGCACTATTGGATCGTTGTGCTAGTGCCTATAGAATTTACAGCACCTGTTAGCCTGGGTACTCGCTGAATGCGCAGAAAGGGACAGAGCTTTGACTGACTCTGACTGAAAATCTGGTCGGGTGGCCTGAGCTGGGCGCAGCCGCGCTGATAGCCAATTGAACGAAGGTGGAGAGAACTAGGATATTCTTGAGGGCCATTTTACAACAAGAAGTACTTGGTGGTGAGATGAGTGGGTGTGCAAAGTTTCCTCGAGGAATGCAGTCACCTAGTCAAACTGAGTCAAAAAATGAAAAGGGGTAGTGCTAGCAGCTAATGGGGATTTGCTCTGAGTTTCCAGACTTGAGCGATTGGTGTGAGGCAATGGGCTTGGGATTTATGATTGCGCTGCTTGTGGCAGGGGGGACAGAAGGAATACTAGATGGACTTACGCTGCTGTTTGCCACTTAACGGGACGGCGATGTGGGCTCTTATAAATTCCTGAACAAATGGACATGACTGGCCGGACTCATAAATGAGCCGCCATTCACATGCCGGGTTCCATCCATAGCCAAAGCCCAAGGCTGATCTTTTACAATCCTCGTATGTTTTTCTCATCCTCTGGTACATAAAATACATCCAGGAAATCTCCTGCTTCGCTATAGTTGACGGATCACTTGCTCATTCAAGTTAAAACTTGACCGGAGCGGTAGGTCAGCACTAATAACAAACGAAATACATAGCGCACGGAAATAAAAATTGGGGGATGTACACCCCCCTTGTGATGATCACTCTCGGTCTGATCAAGTCCCGTTCAATTGAAACTGCTCTCTGTCACGATCTTGATCCGCCATGCCCCGGCAAGGCCCCGGCCCTCGCATTGGTTTTGCGGATTGGAGGTTCACGCCACATGTGCTAACGATCGACCGGCACCCAACCGGCGGGGGAGGACCCGGGAGTTGCTATTTTCAAAAAACCAAATTTTACTCACTCACGGGCATGGAGCCGGTTCCAAAATTCTGACTTCAGATGCCCGCTGAGATTCATATCTATCCACACTTTAATGTCACTGGTCAAAGAAGTGAATTTCTCACAGAGCTTTGGTGGACGTAAAGGAACACTAAAATTCGGAAGAAGAAAAAGGTGACAAGGCGCAGCAGTGCCATCCTCGGGCCTCAACGTACCACTGTTGCGTTAGTAGGTGCTGAACAGATTTTCGACTGGAGCTGTAAAATTTGTCACAGCTTTCGACTGAGAAAAGCGACGGGGCACACGTGCTGAGAACGCAAATGACAATTGTATGTACCATCTAAACGAAAGGTGCACTGCAAGTGAGGGATATCAGGATATCGTTTCTGTCGAGATCTCCAAAGTGAAGGATGCTGGTACTGCTAATCAGTATTCATCTTCTCAGTCATTACGGCAAGCCTGCAAGGCACGTCGCATTCACCAAATATATCGGTTGTTGAAAATGCTTCCAGATTCAATCGCCGGCTTTGATAAACTTGCTGGAGACCCTGCTATCACCATCGAAAATTGACGAGGGCACGAGCACGAGACAATAGCGAGGGTCCCTGATTCAAGTGCACCCGATGTCCGCGGGTCGGCTGTCGAAGAGCTCATTGTTTTGCCATTGGGTATGGGCGTACAAGTCTATCCTTCACAATTGCCCTCATATTTATCACAATTTATCTTAAGCATTTGTGACTCCTTTTGATTCACACAAGCAAATCCAAACTTAACCACAATAACCAGCAAAGAGCAGCGAAGCCATTGCAAACTGAATAACAAACCTGTGGTTGCACAAGTCAACCGTGAACTGATGGTCCCACCCAAACACGCACCCAGTTCGGCTCAATCATTTAAGGCACCACGATTGGACAGGCAGTCTGCATGTAAAAGACATGTATGCAAATCAGAAACGCGCTGCGTGAGGTGAGATGATTCATAAATCAATCAAAAATTACGAAAAAAACAAAACAAAGAGTCAGATGAACTTCCGATGAATGATGGAAAGTGACAGGTCAGTAGAAGGCGGTTGAGCTCGCCAACGAAGGCATCAAAGACTAACACTGTATAATGCCCAAGGAAGTCGGATTACACGTCAGGCGGTCAAAGGATACACATGATCGGCGATAGAAAATGACATACACAATTTAAAAGTGAAGGACAAAGTAGGACCAATGTACACTGAAAGCGAGCTTCCCGGGCCGTGGCTACATACTCCAGATGCCAGAAGCTCTTTCATTTGAACTCCCGCATGGTCAATGTAAATCAGGATGGATTGAAGGAGTCAAAGTGGCAAATGCGAAGGGTTGTTTCTTCTGCAGACTGCAGCTTTGACAGGGAACTCGTAAAATTTAATTACAGTACGCAATTGTTATGTGCCAAGATTCCAATTGGTTCGGAAAGGGCACTGGGTAAGTTTGCAGATCAGAATCTGACTGATGATTCTGATAAATATCATCCTGCTCATTGAATCCGTTGATAACTTGTCTCGGTCTCCTAACCCGTCTACTCATAAAACGACGCCAGTTAGCACCGTTTCATCCCTCGTTGTCTGAGGTTCTGACCTGCTCACAAGCATTGCCATTTTAACTTACTAAGCCTTATCCGAACTCTTGCGAACGGTTTGTGCTACTCTTCCTGACGAGTAGTTGATACTTCACTTGTTACAAGACAAGATGAACCACTATTGCGTCAAATACTTGTGTCTTTTTCTGTCGCTTGCTCTCCCTCAAGCTTCTTTCGCGCTCCTAACTGGATTCAATTATAAAAATTTACCATACCAAAGTGATGGTGCCGCTGGGCAAACCGGTTACAATCAATGTGGCACCAAAGCTCATCCAAACAGTCATTGCCAGTGAGCCCCCTTGATTTATTGCCAAATTTGCTACCCTATGCCAAAGCTGACAATCTCTTGATAAAAAGGAACGCGTTCATCAATCAGCCGAGGACTTTTGCATCTTCGCACGTAAGGACCAATTGTCTGGGAGGGAATTATAATATGTCTTATCGCTTCTTGACGCGGATTCGTTTTTGGATTCATTTATCCACTTAGCACCGAGACCCCTAGTCGTAGGTGAAGCCGAGCGTATAGCTGTCTCTTACTGCTCAAAAGATGGCTATGGGACTCGCCTGATCCCACCTGGAACTTTCAAGAATTTACACTTTGTGTGAGTGACTCCCTGCACAGTTTGATGCTCAACTCCAGCCCCATGCTTATACGCTTCATCGCTGACAAAATCTGCTACAGTCGCACTCCACACTATGTCCAAATTACCGCCCTTGGTAACGTAAGTCTATACCTATCTTTCTTGTTGAACATGTGCTAACTTCTTAAGTCAACCTGCTTTTTGATTCCTTGTTAGTTCACCAAAGTCAATGTTCCAAAGGGTGATGAGGGCGGCGAATTAGGTTAGTTTCTCAGTCACCTTGCAAATTGGATTTTGTTTGCGATAGAATCACTGATCATCAATTTCATTGGTTGACCTAAAGACCCTTCGGGGTAGGTGTTGCATCTCCAACTCACGAGTGATTCCTTATAAGTTATAGAGGCTTGATCCATGCTTAACTTTCAGGGCTGACAATCACGGAAACCCCGTCGGTGGATTAGTATTTGGCGAACGCGGTCAGTTTAACCATTGGACCGAGTTCATTGCCTATGATGAGTTCTGTATCAGAGCTTGTTTTAATACACCCGAATCCCCGAGATATTGCCAGCATATCTGTCAGTTTTATTCGCTTGACTTCCAGCTCAAGCACGAATTTTGATCATTCCGTTTGGTTTGTACTAGATGACTTGGAAGGATGTGCCTGGAACATACCCGGTAACTACGACGGCCCTGGATTTGACGAATGCGAGGGAGAAGACGTCCCTCTACCTATGGGTGAATGTGAGTGTTCCAGATCCACTCAAACTCGATGACCACTTGACGCTCATGAATGCTATTGCTATCAAAATTAATCAGACCGCCGACCCGATGGGTCAATTTACACTTGGCAGCGGGGTAGCGCACCTCAGCCTCCACCAGGTGCCCCTGGTAAACTGAAAAAATGCAAGAGGTTAGTCACTCCCAGTTGATTGATTACACTGATGAAGCTGTTCGTGCTGAGCGGGATTTTTTTCCAGTGTCCATGCCCCAGGCTTGAACTACCCACGATCAAAAAGATTTGAACGAAACAGTTAGCCTTTGAGTGGTTACTTGGATGGACAACATGATCGTCACAAAATTATTGAACATTGCTGTCTATTTTAGCCCTTTGTCTTACCCCTTTGCCTGTATAGGTTTGGAGATTGATAAATTTCTTCATTTACTTCACTTTTTATTTTGGTCATGTAAAATGTAGCAGCTTTTTTATCAGTTTCAAGCTCAGTTCCTCATTTAAGCTGCCTTGGAGTTGTGATGTGGTCATCTGATTCTTTTGGGACTAGATAGTGGCAATGCATCATGCAACAATGAAGTAACAAAAATTGAATTAAAGGCCAGTTCAGGATGAGAAAAATAGAAGTCAGAACTGATCTTCTGAATAGAATTCTGTGTAAAAAAAAGTTTGGTAAAGTTTGGTAGGTAGTTGAATGGATGATATAATTAAGAAACTTGATCGATTCAGTCAAATTAGTCAAGTTCAGGAAAAATGTGGAACAGGGAAACCAAAAAGTGTAACCAAGGGGTAACTGAGAACTGGTTACCAAAAAAAGGCATGTACTGCCATAAAAAGAATATAGGTGTCAGCTTGCTACTATGTCAGAGACAACCTGTCATATCAAATAAAATAAAATAATTACATAAAAAAATCTGAGTATAAAGTAAGGGCATTAATAAGAAAAACATGGTTTTTCCGCATTTTGACACGGTTTTGCAGCAGCGCAGCACACGCGGTTTCTGCATTTGGATGTGTTTTCTTAATTAAATTTTTACACTATATTTCTTATTATTTTTTATTATTTAAAGTTGTTCC